TTCTCTATTAAGTAATACTAGTTTATTTTCTTTAATTCTGGCATCCCCCAAATCATGCTATTTTACAAAATAGTATAATAGTTTATTTTTATATCATTTTGTGCCTTTCCCATCTCAGTTGTAATCCCCGTGGGCTTCCCATCACCAAATCACCCATGTGCCATCTCCCTGCCCTTCCCCCCAGACCATTTTTGATCCCATTCCCAACTCTACCCCCGTAAAATGTCTCTGGTATATAGTTGTTCATTATTATTATTTTTTCCTCTGGTTCTTTATGCTCCTGCTATGAGTGAACCCATCTGGTATTTTTCTTTTTCTTTCTGGCTTATTTCACTAAGCATGATCCCTTCCAGCTCCATCCATGTTTCTGCAAAAAGCAAATCATGCTATTTTTTGGAAAATTTGTAGGGGCATTGTATGCCCATCCCTATGAGAAGAAGTATGGTGAGTCCTCACAAGAGTAAAAATAGACCCAAAGGAAACAAAAACACCAATTCAAAAGGAAAGCTGCTATCCTATGTTTATAGTAGCAGCATTTCCTATACCCCCAAATTGGAAATAAACTAAGTTCCTCAGAACATCTAGACAGTGGATCAAGAAGATGTTATCTGTACAGAATGGAATACTACTCAGTGATGACAAAATAAACTCATGCCATTTGCAGCAACATGATGTAGCTGGAATAGTTTGTTCTAGGTGAAGTTAGCCGTGAGGAGAATAATAAATACTGGTTTCACTTACAAGTGAAATCTAGAGAAACAACAGAATCTCTGAAAAGACAGATTGCAAGACTGAACCTTGAAAAGTAGACTGTAGACTTGAGGTACTTATTAGGGGAGGTGTGGAGATAGGGAGATTGGGAAATTAGAGGTGGGGGCTGGGAGAGTGGAGGGCAATGGAGTGTGATGGAGGATTGTGGGCACCTTGGTCTCGGGGAAGTAAAGTGACTACTCTTGAAGGGAGAAACCCAATATTGCAAAACAAACAAACAAAAAAACCAACAAGGATGATTCAAAACAAACTAAGAAAAACAGGCTCCTTCTATTGGTTGTCACAAGTTAGTGTGATAACAAGTCATGAAAGCTAAATGTCCAGTGAATTGTGTCCCCCACTCCTGATGGTTTTTGGGATTCTATCTCTTTGTATCTTTGTTGGCACATTGACTTAATTGACAGTAGAATTGATATTCTGGGACTGCTGAGGATGGGTCTTAAGAAATCTTGCAACAACTTGCACTAGTTCTTAAAACACTCAATCTTGGGATAGCCCCAAGAAACAAGATTGCTTTTGCAAAATCAAAGGGCAATATTTATCATTTACCTGAGTTCTTTTGATTTCTGTTGTAAGTGTATGATGTCTGTCAGGGCTGTGACCAAGATTACTACTTGGTTTAGCTTGGACTAGTTTGTTCTCATTGTCCAGGACCCATCAACATCTGCAAGTAATCTTTTAGTCTCTACATGATATTTAATGGCTGGGTCACAGCCATGGTTTTACTGCCCATTATGTGATTTTGCTTTGTCTTCATTATCCTAGACAGATGGGGTAGATTCAAAAGCTTCACTTTATCTTATCTCATTTCTTATCTCATGGCATCTCATTTCTCATAGATCTAAGACCTGATATAGGACTCTGCTTCTGTGTACAGTATTTCCAATTATATATCCCTGGTTTGGTAACTGTTATTGGATATGGCTGCAGTATCAGGAGAGGCACAATGGGTCAGATATTAAACTTGAATTCACCTATCACCAGGCCTCTCTAAACCTCTCTAACAGGAGAGCATTGACGATGTTTTAGTTTTTGCAGTATCACTGTCAAGTGACACCATGTGTTCATATATCCCTTTGCTGTGTACACATTTCAACTGTATGAAAGGAGAAATTTCTTTTTGTGAAGGAGTGAGCATAATGTAAGTGAATGCTTGCCAGGATGTTGAGGTCACTTTTTCCTAGTGAATATTACTATATGTTCAAGCAATGATGTCCCTAAATTGAATGATGGATTATGCCATTCAATGGGGGAGACTTCTCTTAATTCTGACTGCATATCTTAAGTAGTACTCTTGGTAACTGCTTTCTAAATTTGACCTTAGTATACCACATTGCATTGACCATCTCCACAACTCCCTGTGAATTTTTGGGTGTTCCTCTATTTTGCATTGTAAATTTATGATTTTTGTATGATTCAGTTCAACTATTTATTATCTATTGCTTAATTCCTTTTACCTCACAGTTAACAATCCAGTTATACTGTTCTCTACCCAATTTTTAGCTCTGGTATAAACAAGAGAGTCATTGCTGGAACTTGTTAATAAGTCTGGTTCTCCTCCATGAGTACATCCCATAGCCTTTGGCAAATGTTATATATTTTTATTTTATTTTATTTATTTATTTATTTATTTATTTTTATTACAAAAGTTTATTTTTACATCATTTTGTACATTTTTTTTTTCATCTCGATTGTAATCCCCGCGGGTTTCCCATGTGCCATCACCATAATCCCGTGCATTTCTCTCCCCCCCCATTTTTGATCCCATTCCCCACTTCACCCCCTCAAAATGTCTCTGGTATATGGTTGTTCATTATTTTTGTTATTTTCTCGCCTGGTCCATTATACTCTTGCTATGAGTGAAACCATCCGGTATTTTTCTTTTCTCTTTCTGGCTTATCTCACTAAGTGTGATCTTTTCCAGCTCCATCCAAGTTGCTGCAAAAGACATGTGTTTCTCTTTTTTGGTTGCTGAGTAATATTTCGTTGTATATATGTACCACATCTTTTTTATCCAGTCATCTACTTTTGGGCAGGCAAATGCTATATTTTATTTAGAGCCTATCGTAGAGAAAAATAATGTGATGGATTATCTGACAATATATGCATTCCAACATTACCACTTTTCCTCAGTTTGTGTTTTCCTTTTCTTATACTCTTATACATTTTATCATTAATTAGCATGAACCATTGACTTTTCTAGATTTAAAAATCCATACTACAGTGAGATAGCTACAATCTCCTGATTGAGAATTCATTCCCACCAGTTAATGCATTCTTGTTTATTCAGTTTTATATTTCAATTCCTTGATTTAAAGCAATCTCAAAATTCAGTTTTAAGAAAAGTACCTACAGATACAATCTAGTTAATACTAGTGACCTCCTTGGGTTTGCTCTCTTTTTCCCTTTTAGTCCCAGAACACTGCCATTTAGATTGTGCAGGATTTTACTCTGATTTTTGCCTTTTGGGCAATATAATATATGGACTGTTGTTTATAGTAATTTGAAAAATAGGAAGGTTATCTATTGAACCTATAGATAACCTTGCTAATGATACTAACAATCAGAGTGTTAATGTTGAAACTGACTCATTTTATTTAACCATTATAAAGCAAATGAGAATGAGGTGAGCTAAAAAACTGAAGTTTTCAAGCAAAACTTAGAGAAAATGTAATGGCTTCAGTGTGGTCTGATACTTAAAAATCTACACTACATATGTCTCCCAGAAACTGTAGCTAGCAGAAGAAATGGAAGAAATGGAATTATGGCTGTATGTCAAGATATTAAAGATGTGGGTATAATAATGAGACATCAGAAAGGTAAAGGGGAAAGTCTATAGTAGCTTCTAAAATTCACAAGTTTGGACCTAACAGACCCTTTCTGATAGATAAATAAATACCATAACACTATTTAGGACATGCTTTTATAGCTACATTCAAATATTTGAAGTATTTCTAGGAACTTAAGAATGTATTCCTTGAATAACCTGACTTTTAATCAAGTGAGAGAGAACTGTCTAAAAGAGATTTTGTGAGTATGACATGCAACTAGTGAAACCCAATAAGAATAATAACTGCCTTACATTATTTTAAATCACTTCAACTGGTTTCATCAGTTAAAAATTTTTATATGATCTTGAACTACAAAGGACAGTGTTAGAAAAATGGGTTTAACAATTGTTGCATTACATTTATATATCTCATCTTTTCTTTTAATGGTATCATCATTCTATATTATTTTATCTTTATAAATTATGTCTTTGATGCACAAATAAATTCAGTCTTTGGTTAAAAGGGGGACATCATAAACCCCCATATCTCAAATAACTGTGTAAACAAATGTTAACAATAAAAATCAAGTTCTTCTCTCCAGCTAAATCTGCTATAGGGGAAAGGACAGTAGGAGCTTAATAACCTAGGGTAGAGTGCGAGGCATGCTTTAATGAAGAGTGCTGTTGTATCACACACATGAGGAGGTGTGCTCTTATACCCAAATCATGTACAGTTTTGTAAACCAATATTACCTCATTAAAGAAAATATGATAAAATTCTTGAGTCAAAAGGAATCAAACATGAGAAACCATAGCCAAAATAGACCACTGTTTTGTTGACCTAATTTAGAATAAATGATCTAGAATTCAAAAGAGTTTTTAATAATATATTTTTATTCTGTGAATTATTGAGTGTGACATCACTTGCTTTAATTACTTAATTTCCTCCCTAATTGAAATAAATGAACCATGATATATTGCTTAAGATACCTTTTGAATCATATGTGAGCCAGTTTTTTCCAGTTGATTAATTACTACTTTAAAATAAAAGCCTCAAATTGTAGTACCATAAAAGCTTTATTGCTCACATAAAATGTTAACCTTGAGGGACAACATAGACAAATAAGCACACAAACTTCCAACTCCCAAACATGAACAATACTGTAATATCTCCATACCTATTTTCATGTGAAACATGCACATTGCAAAAAATCAAATATATAAACTCATTTCCCCATACAAAGTCATCATATGATTCCACGGCTAGTGTCCCTTTTGTTCATCTTTCTCATATATTACATGCAAATTTCATTGCTTAATAAACTGAATTGGAACTTACCACTTATTTTTCTTTTAACTTGTTCTGTATGTGACAAGTATAATAAAGAAGCTGAGAAACAGCATTATTATACATCCATGTTTCTCTCCAACAATGATGTATCAGAAGGTCTTTCTAGGGTCAGTGTCTTTTTCTGATTATCCTACTCAATGCCTCTTTGACCTCCTTGTTTCTCAAAGTATAGATCAGTGGATTTAGAACAGGGGTGACCACAGTGTACATGATAGCAACGATCCAGTCCTGGTCCATGGTGCTTCCTGAAGTAGGACGAGTATAAGTGAAGGCAGCAGGAACATAAAAAAGAATAACTACCATAAAGTGTGATGCACAAGTGGACAGTGCCTTGTGAAGCATGCTGCAAGAACGGGTCTTGTAGCAGAGATAGGTGATAATGTAGAAATAGGAGAGAAGTGTTAGAGAGAATGAGCCTATGGCAATTGTCCCTGTGACAACATTGAGCAGCCACTGGTTGAGCTCGGTGCTCCCACAGGCCACATCTAGCAATGGCTTAATGTCACAATAGAAATGGTCAATATGATTAGAACCACAGAAGTTTAAACGTGAGGTCATAATGGCATGCAGCAAGGCATGAAAAAAGCCAAGAGTCCAGATCGTGACAGCCATCTGTGTACAGCGTTGATGACTCATGATGACAGTGTAATGAAGAGGTTTGCAGATAGC